AGATAGTTGTTGGCTATGTGAGGACTTGAGATAAAGAGCAATAAAAGACAGGTAATAAAATTTCAGCTCCGTTAATTGCATGGCCAGCACAGCTTTGTTGTTGTTGTTGTTGTTGTTGTTGTTGTTGTTGTTGTGTGCCTTCAAATCCTTTCTGACTTGGGCAACCCTATCATGGGATTTTCTTGGCACGATTTGCTCAGGGGGTGAGGGGTTAGCTTTACCTCTCTCTGAGGCTGAGAGAGTATGACTTGCCTAAGGTCACTCAGTGGGTTTCCATGGCTGAGTAGGGATTTGAACTCTGGTCTCCAGAGACTATAGTCCAACTCTCAAACCACTATGCCACACTGGCTGAGCACAGCTACTCCTGAATATTTTTTTTTACTCAGTTTTCCCATTCTTTCTCTTAAAGATTACAACAACACATATACCTTTGCTTGCCATGCTGAAGATGATTCCCTTATGGCTGTCTACATTTCTGATTCGATGGGGCCTCATCCAGTGGATCTCCCCCATTTTCAGATTGGCATGTTCCAGCCAAAGCACGATTGTAGAACAGCTAACCACAAATAAGGACCTGCAAGCCATTTTCAGCTATTTCTTTTATGGTGAGGAAAAGGGTAGCTATCTTTCTTTGGGGTAGCTTGTTTTTTTACATCATTGCTATTCTTATGTATCTGGCTTTTCATTGCCTAACTCTATGGAAGGTTTGCCCTATTCTTTCTTCCTTAATGAATGTGAGATTCTGCTGCAGCACATATAACTCAGTGGTAAAGCACATGCTTTGCAAGTGGAAGTTCCCAGTTTCAGTTCCTGGCATCACCAGATATGGCTGGGAAACCCCCTGCCTTAACACAGGAGAATCACAGCTGATCAGTAGAGATAAGTATTCAGTGATCATGCAATGAGGAGCATGACTGATATAGGGATGTGAAAATCTCTGTCTTGATTTTTTAGTTTCCTATTTGCATTGTCTTCCCATTTGTGTTTCATATCACATTGTGAGGCTGTTGTGTTTTCTTCCTGCACTGAAATCTTTGCATTTTAAAATATTTTTCCTAATTTGGACATTTGTTTGTACAGTTGGCGTAATTTGAACAGCCTTCCCTCACTTGCTAAACTGTGTTTCTGCATAAATATATATATTTAAAAATCTTTTTATTCACATAAACAATATGTAGGGAACAACATAATATAACATACAACCCCCCCAACCCTCACCCCATCCTAACCACGGTCCTCCTAGAACTAATCTAACACACATACATATACATATACATATACATATACATATACATATACATATACATATACATATACATATACATGTGGCTTCCAATTTACCGGCTTATGGTTATAAATTTCTCTTATTCCTACTCCCTCTAATACATACTAACAGCTACATAGTAATATTAGCTGCCAATACATAATAATATTGCCCTTCTACTTAATAATTTTTCTATTATATTTCAAAGCCCAAAACCACTACATTGCTCTGACTCTTCATAAACTTAACAACATTCCCCCAATCATTTAAAAACAAATTTATAGTTTTTTTTCTTTAATTAAAATAGTCAATTTATCCATTTCTGCCAATTCCTACAGTTTTGACAATCAGTCTTCCTGTGTTGGGGCAGTTGATTCTTTCCATCTCTGAGCATAAACCAGTCTTGCTGCTGCTATCATATAATGCATATTCCTTTTTGCATATATTTTCAGTGATACACATTTTAGCCTTTCACATTTTTAAAAATGTGCACATTCTTTTCAGTGTATTTTTTCAGTCAAAAACCATTTGAAAGTCACATGAGAATGCTTGACTTCCATAAATGGAAGCTGGAACAAAGCACCACAGTGTGGAATATGACTGTTTGAGATTCCAGGCATTTCTGTACTTGGTACTCCTTTGTTTTTCCATCAAGCCACTGTCCCCAATGATCAGTCAGGTTTCCATGGCCACTGAGTATGTGCAGTCCTCATTGGGCTGTATATACTTCTGCAACTGTTTTTATTGATTATTATAGTGCTCCTTTAATTCATATTGTGAACCAAAGCAAACATGATTATTTTATTATTCATTTCATTCAGAACTCGGTTGTCAGCTGGCTGACTGGCTTATATCTTCCAAATTATCACAGTTTGGCAGACACAGTCCTGATTAATCCTCTGCTGTTCCATTTTAAAATGTCGCACTTACTTTCTCCTCCTCCTATGTTCTGCCTTCATCCTTGGCTTACTTGCTGCAAACTTGAGTTCAAAATACAAAAGTAGTTTGTGCTTAGCTCACTGGAAGGAGAGGACGGTAGGGGTAAAATCTTGCCTTTCCTGGAAGATTCAGGCAAAGGCAAATTTCTGCAGCCTCTCCTACCCTGTGTATTCTTCCTCCTTAATAGCTTTTGTCATCCTGACCGCCCTCTGATGTTGTTTGGCATATGTGTGCTGTTTTTTATGTGTGAAATTTTGGAGGGTATGCTGACTGTCACATTGAAATTCTCCAAACAGTTGGGGGATCCTATTAGATAAGATTTTCTCATGTTCCCACTGGCATAATCATCCTTTCAATCTTTTATTCCCTCTCACTTCTCCAATAATTTCAGGAGTTCCTCCAAAAGACTCCAGTTTCCTCATGACTAGCTTATTGGTTCGTCATTATCAGCGCGGTTCATGGTACCCTAAAGGGGGCCCTAGCGAGATCCCTTTCTGCATCATCCCTGTCATCGAGAGATCTGGAGGTGCTGTACTAACAAAGGCACGTGTGAATCAGATCTTGGTCTCAGAGACTGGCAAAGCAATAGGTGAGTTTGTAAATGGAATTTGATGGTGACTATTCCAAAATGGGAAACATGTCCCATTTTTCATCTGGAGAGAGAGAGAGAGAACTGGAGTATCAATCCCGAAAGTACAAAGCGGCACTGTTTTGCCCACTTTCTGCATGAGTTAATGTTGCGTTAATGCTCTATGTCTGAAAACAATCCCACTTTTGTGGGATATTCTCGTGATTTAAACCTCATTTATCCACAGGATTTGGGCACTTTGCCTCCCGTGTGATAAACTCCATAGACTGAAAGAAACTTCTCCCCCATTTGCATTTGACAAATTCAATAGGTATAGCTGTACCTAGCAGCTGTATCTTGTTGCATTTTCTTGTTGTATATATATTAATGAAAAGGAGCCTTTGAGGGGAAAAATAAATGGCAATACTGATTCAACACTTTTATTTATTTATTTTGGAATATTTATATCCTGCTCTTCAGCCACAAAGGCTCTTGGAGCAGCTTACAATATATATATATTTAATTAAACAATTCCCTGCCCCCAGGCTTACAATCTAAAAAGACATGACACAAAAGGAGAAGGGAGTGGCAGTGGGGACGGGATCAATTTCATTGGTTCTTCTCTCCCTATGGGTCCATGGCCATGGCAGATGGGCTAGAGGGATGGCTCTTTTTCTTATATTGGGCTAGGCCTGATGGAGCTGGACTGCTTCTCTCCCCCTCTGAGGAAAGATGATGGTAGATGGGCAGGAGAGAGGGCCTTCCTACTTTGGCCAATGGAAATAATATACAATCCAAAGGGGTTCAAATCCAGCCTCTAAGTCTAAGTGTTAACACTCCAAACTCTGGACCTGAGTGGATGAATCTGCAAATTTCAATTTCTGCTACATTTTAAATTTCAAGTTCTTACCAAACCAAATAGGAAGAAATGTATACAATTTGGAAAATACTTGCTAAAATAGATTGAAATGAGATTGTTTCCCATTCTTACCCCTCCTCTTACACTGCCCAGTTTTTTTAGTGGTAAAAAATGCAGAGTTGCTTAGTATTGTCAAGTGGCTGTAAGCAGGAGCTCCTGAATGAAATACAGATGTAGACATCTGTAACATCCAGGACTGAAACAGAAGGCTGTACCAGGATGGGAGGGCAATGAAGGGGCAGAGATGGGGCTTTGTTATTTTGCAGTTGTTTTCAACATGTAATTGGTTGATACACCTGGCTCATGATCAGCAGTGAGATCCTGATCAGAGCATAGAAGTGTGTGAAATTGGTACTCCAGCGCTGAACTTTCTGATCAGTAATTTTTTTCCAGGGGTGAGTGTACAGAAAGGACGGGATGGAGAGGTGAAAATTTATGCTCCTATCGTGATCTCAGATGCTGGTATTTACAATACCATGGCAAACCTCCTGCCTCCTCAGATCAGAAGCAAATCAGGTAAATCAAACATTGTTGGATGTTCTCAGTGAAATTCACTGTGCCCTGGGACACAAAAAGTTCATTACCCCTATGGGCCAAATGTATTGTTGGAGACCTATATTTGAAACGAAGTAGGTCTGGACCAAGGATGAAATGGAAGCGTTTTTGTTGCTGCTGTTAAATAGGTGGGAATCAGAAATTGTTGTTCATCAACTGCAAATCATCCAGTGATTTACCAGTGGATTCCAATCAACCTCTCCTTTGCTTTCCTCCTATATTTGCCAATTTCTTCAACGTATTCAGGTGTCCCCTGAATCAGGTCAACTAATGTTAGCACTGGTGTTATCCAAATGATGATTTGGAACATTAGTTTGAAGAATATTTGCAAATCAACCATAATGGAAGGATTAGAACAGAGACAAGGAAATGAAATTGATGTAGAGTTGGATTCCCCTTTCCCCTGCAGTCCATGTCAGGCTTTGCTTCCCAATCCTTTCATCCACACAGGGAAGTGAAGTACTCCCAGCTGGTCTTCTTTGAGTAATTTGAAGACCAAGATGACTCTCTTTCTCTGACTAGCATGGGACAGGGCTTTGGAGGGTGGGACTCAATGTTCTCTGGACTTGGTCTGGATTTTCCACTGGGTAGATTAAACCAGTGAACCATAAATTCCCTTCAGTCCTAGAAATCACAAATTAGAATTGTGGTTCCCAAGCTTTGGTCCTCCAGATGTTTTGGATTCAAATCCCAGAACTTCAGACTGTTGACCAAGCTGGTGTTTTTTTTGGGGGGGGGGGAGCTGAAGTCTAAAAAGAAGACCAAAGTGTGGGAACCAATGCATTAGGAAGGTAGACCTAAGCTTTAATTATTTTCTACTACAAAATACAGCAAGAGGAAATGCCTTATTCCAGCTTGACAAAGTTGCCACCTAATGACTGAATCTTAAAGGACAGCATGTAACTAACTGTAATTTCCCAGTTCATGCCATGGCATGGGAGGATATTAACATGGGACAGGGAAAAAAGAAGGATGTGTGCAGGCCCATAGTGTATCCTTGGACATTATCACACGGGGAGTCGTGGGGAGAAAGTGGAAATAAATGGGCACAAGCGGAAGTCTTTAATTTACGGGATTTGTCCCATTCCACCTCGTCTGATAACT